TTTCTACTGTATTCTGACTTACCCCTCATTGGGGTTGCATCTAATAAAGATTAGTGGCTACTCTCGGTTGTACATGCGGATTGGAGGGGAATGCCTGAGGAATGGGATCCTCAGGCCTATGACTCTAGGGCGCAGAATTATTTCAGTGACACCTCATTTTTCAGCGACTATGCCCCAGGCTTCGTATTCAAGCCTGCAGCCGCTCAAGCAAAGACTATCATTTGAATCACGACAAATCCCCAGGACGAGTACGATTAGTACGCCTTCCAGGACGGAATCCCGCGCCTCTGAACAGGCCAAAGCCTTCTTATAGGAAGGTGCCCTTGCACGCCCTATCACACTGCAACACACCGACCCGGACGCCCGCCGCGCCCGCCCGCCCACAAATGGACGACCGTACCTGATGCTCGTATGCTTCATTTGCGAAGTAAAATATGAAGCGAAGGGATTGGTATGAAGCGGCTGCGGTGCTGCATGGATATATGAGTACATACATGCAGCCGTATCTACCGTAGCCGTTATTGGCACGATGTCTACGGAAACTCGTCCAAAATTGCTTTCTGAGTCATGGGTAACAAAGGCTTCTTTGCAGTTTTTTGAGCGTATTACTTCGTCTTTTCGCAACTTTCCCACAACGTAGTACCCTGCTCACTTTTCACACAGTATCAACTTGTCATGCTATAGCCTTTAAAAGTTATTTGTTATTTGGCGGGTGTAAACCCTACACAAACAGTACCTCGAGTAGGGTTGGTTGTCCTGTTATATCTTTCACGTACGCACGCCAATAAACGGATTCACCTCCCGTCGTACAGCTCCGCAACACTTAGCCTTTAACGCCCGTTCCGGCGGCAATGGTATATTCTCTGCAAATGCGGACAGCGATGCCAAATGCACGGAGGCATTTTGCGGTCCACATGATCGCGGGAACGTCTTTGACACATTGAACGCCGCGTGAAGTTGTCAGCAGTACACGCGCATACTCCCGTTCCGCGCATTTGTGTATTGCCTACAATTCACATTTTGTGGATCAATTTCTTCCTAGCTAACCATGCGTTTGTGAATGATTATCGTTGAATATATGCTCAATATGTTTCCTTATTCTACAGTCCTCATCATTGCGGACCGGGGGCGTGTCAGTGCGGCTGCGTTTGGCGCGGTGCCAAAGTCGTTCTGCACCAGTTGTTGAAGCGGGCAAGTGACATTACTGTATTATATCCTTCGTATTACTCGTTTTCTACCACTTTTTGTCGCATACGCGTTTCAAAAAGGCTGAGAACGGCTTCAACAGTGTGCACACTCATACTGGCTGACACGCCCCACCGGTCCGCAATGATGAGGATTGTATATTCTCTATGGCTTGAAGTAAGGTGTTCATTGGGGCTGTTTCATTTACTTAAAAAAACTATCAGTCTACAGAACGCTAATCGCACTTCATATGATAATTTTCAACCAATTCTTCTTCAGCTCTGCGAGCTTAGTTGACTAGAAGTTTGGGCTGTTTTGCTCCTCATATCAGTCGATTACTATTGAAGTCAGGGGAGTTTATCATTCCCAAATAAAAAAATAGAAATCCAACGGCGCGATTGCACGGACTGGTTTGCTCTAAGCACCTTCCAGGAAATGATAGCCGAGTAGTCCTTCAGGGAGGAAATTCATTGAACTGAATAATTGTTCGTCCTGATTGTCATCATAGTTGTCTTCTGAGCTGTCTAAGCCATCTGATTCCTTCATCACTGTGCTAAAATAAGTCGTCAAAACTAATATTGACATCCTCTACTTCGTTCTTTAGATCCAACCTAACCGACTTGAGTTCTGTTGCATAAGTTCACGCGAGAATCAAGTGCAAGAGAAAGCAGAATGAGCGTGCAAAGGGCATGCGGCACGAAGACACCCGTCCCCCGCGTTTGTGCATCGCAGACAATTCGCGCGCGGAGACGAAGGAAATGTAAACGGGAGTCGCTGCGAAAGCGCCACGGCGCTCGGTGTGTCAAGATCTGTGAAGGGCAAGCAACAATACGCCACTAGAAACCTCACAGGTGAATATGGAGGGTCAGTCTATGCGCAAAACATAATAAGCTGCTGTATTTTCATTTAATGGTTCTGAGGAAGGTCCCTTGAAGACAAACTGTATGCTCATCTCCGAGGACTGTCTTCGCTATGTGGGAAGTGAATGGACTCCGCAGCTGCAGTAATTTGCCAGTTTACTCAAACGTTCAAGGAAACGATGCTGGAGGGTTATGATACCCGTGCCGTCTCCGAACTCTACGCGCGTTATCCTCAAGGTGTAGAAATTGCATTGATGTCATGGTCTCGCAGCACATGTGAATTTCAAATGTCGAATGCGAAATACTCAGCGGTAGGGAACAATCAAAAGTGAGAGGACGTAGACAAGTAGCGCGTTTGGTCACGGTCAAGGCTTATGCCGTGCTGCAGCGCCGGCGAAGTATGAAGGCGAAGCACCATCCTTCCGCTCCACTCTTTCGCACTTTTACCTGGAGTTTGTGGCACGCTACTGTAGCTGTGCACCCAATCCCCCCACAATGATTAGGATCCACGGGCTGTGTGCAGCTTGCCTTCAAGCGGCAGTCGGAGTATGGATAGCCATAATGCAAGTTTATTGCTCATTAAGCTGCAGTTTTACTCTGAGAAAACGATCTGTCTGAAATCTATTGGGATATCACTTGAAAGACTCCTAGTGGATTTTTCAAAATTCATTCATGACAAGAGAGGGTTTGCTCTCGAATGTTCCATCTATATGGCTCAACCCATTTTCATTTTGTCGTCGTTGGAGCGATTCCAATTCGTCGCTGTTGAAGCGATTCCGTTGAGGGGTCGGTGGCAGCTTTTTCAGTGAAGGTTTTGGACCTGTAAGCAGATCTTTGAAATGAAGAGTAAAATACTCTCAAATTTGTTAGGAAATTTTGATGAAATAGAGCTTCAGTGCGAAAATTCCAAGAAAATAACGATCTTGCAGGCAAGGGTGCCAAAAGCCCTTTTCAGCGGTGGATTATAAGCAAGAAGTGGCAATGACGACACCAGATTCCTTCCGTTCCAAAGTGTTCACTGTGCTGACGAGTCTCTGCTAGGACAAGGGCACATCCTACTGCCAGGGAAACTATCTGCGAAGTACCACTCGAAGAAAACTATACGAATTTTCCATTTCTGTTACGGCCGCCTTACCCATGCTGCTTGTGACATTCTTGAACCATACCGCTTTTCTGCACCTTTTTTACTGCTAAACAGCCGTCGAACAGGAAGCTTCAGCAGCTTCAACAGCTGCAGTTCACACGACGCGACACTTTCGAGCTTTTCAGCATGAGATTTCCCAAGGTCTCGCTATTTGAAGCTGTTCATAAATCATGATTTGATTCTCTTCATAGCTTTCCTACCAGTAGAAATGGTTTTATTGCTCGTCGCTTCACCGCTGAGGACTGTCGAGCGCTTCTTAAGATGTCTGTGGGAGCGAGACGTTCTCAGAGTCCTTTTTCGTCTCCGAATCCTCCTCATACGTCTCCATCTTGGATTGCTCCGTAAAATATACCTCAGCACTTTGAACACCTACAAAGAATAAATTTTAGGAATCGAAATCGAGCAATCTGCTAAACGAAACCATTCAGAACTGGCAAAATATAAAGAACTTTAGCGTCTCCAACCGTTGGATTTTTAGCATTGAGTCGTGCCACATCCTTCCTTATCTCTGTCATTGTCTTACTTTTATTTTCAGTTGCTTTCATATATTCTTCCAGTGCGGATGGTAAGGCCTTAATGATGTTACGGGCATACTGCTTTAGCTGTTTCATATTTTCATCCATTTTAGCTTTGAATTTTTCAACTTCCGCCTAAACATCTGTAATTTTTTGGAGACCGCCAGAACAAACAATGACAGACTTACGTACCGTGCGACTATATTTTTTCGCCCATTGTGCAACTTTTTCCTGTTCTTGAGCAATTGTGAGATTGTTGAAGCGAAATATTGCATTATACTCAAGTCGACCTCCATTGCTAATACCTTTCATAAATGGTGCGTTGAAGTACTCGTCATTGAAGTGGAATCTAGAGCGTTTACGGTAGCGTGCAGCCAGAGCAGCCGTGGTGGCAAGAAGCAAGGTGAGAATGGTTCTCATTCTGCAAAGTTGAAAATCGCCTCGGCAACGAGGTATCAGAGTACATGAAGAGAACAATCTGGTGTGTGTTGCCTGTTGAGGGGTTTTGGTCATACAACACCCGCCGTAATTTTCCGCGCGCTGCTCCGCACTTTTTTTTGCTATAACTCTGTTTGAACTTTTCTCACTCGTCGAAATCTTTAAACTACATTCTGAAAAACTGAAGAGGAGTCAAAATTTCAACTCTGCTTTATCGAGGTACTTGAGGGTACTCGTTAGGCGATTCTCGCTATAACTGTAACCAGAGGGTAATCGTTGGGAATTAAATCATTCAGGACTCAAATAACGTGCTGTATCGCGTAAGAAGTGATTAAAAATTAGATAGTTGTGTTTCCCAAATGATGCTGATCATTACGTGCCAATTTTTTTGAAAATAGAGGGGTTTTGCTCGATGTCATTTTGGACGATATAGCCTT